CTATGTGGTCTTCTTATAGTAGTATCCATTTCCAGATGCAATGGCTTGTCAGACCTAACTGGATGCCTGAACGGTCTCTGGTAGTTCTGCAAAGTACTTAAACAGCTGGATGGTACAGACCACTGAAACTAAACCCTTTTTTCTTTTGCCATGGCTGTGTTTCACTGCTTGCCTTTGAAGTCTATGCAACAGCTGAGTAACATGTGTTATCATACAGCATTGAGTGCAACAACAATACTTCACAGCAAGACCTTTTTGTTCCATAATCCTGGATTGTAAGCATTACAATTTCTTTTGTAGCAGAAAAACCCTTTTTCAAGCATGACATTAGAGTAAATAAACTAAGTTTTTCTTTTTAAGTAATGTGATTAAAATAACGTTATGAAAAGTGATAGCATAATCTGCATATAGAATGAACTTTTCCAAGAAGGAGATTTTACCACACCTTCAAGTCTCCTGTGAAATATGAACTTTCATTTCTACCCAGAAGAACATTTACAATCTCTTCTGTGATGTCTGATGAAGGTATTTGTGCCTGAAAGCTTGCAATTAAAGATTTTTTTTTGCAAAAAATCTAGTTGGTCTAATAAAAAAATATCACCTTTACTACGAGTCCCGATTGTTTTTTTTTCTAGACCAATACAGCTACAATCTGAATACCTAACGTTACAGAAATTGAATGCATTTATCCATTCTTTCCTCTCCCACTCCCCAACCCCCCCACAAAAAGTGTTAAAGAAACTTTATTCTTGACTTGTCTGATTAATTCCTCATACACAACTTCCAGCAGCATCTTTACTTACCTTGCCACAAAGATGACCAAAAACTCACAAAGCTCTAAGCAAATACCAAGTGACCAATTCACTGAGCGCTTCAGGGGCTGTAGACCAACTCAATATAAGCCATTCTCTGTTCTAAGCAGAGTAAATTTTATGATCTCAATGCAACATCTAACAGAGTAGAGTTAAATGTCAGGACTATCGCACCGTTTCACACAAGCCTATAGATGTAAAAGCCACATCTCTCTTGTCTGCTGATGGAATATATGTAAACTCCTCTAAATGTCAAAAGAGGAAAAGTGTATAAAATCTTTCATAGATTGGAAAATATAGCATATTACCCTGAAGAAGAGCAAAGCCACTATTATGTAGGAGTCCACGTCTGACTACACTGGATAACTGTCCAACTGAAAGCATACTTTCACACATTCAAGCCCAAAGCCGTGGTATATCTCCATACCAAATTCTGATTCTGTAAAACTTTACTCATGCTGATTGTTCTTCAACTATTGCAGTAATAGAAGCTAAATTACATCCTATAGCACTGATCAGCAACATTTCCCAACAGTGGGCTCAGCTCAGGTCGAAGATGAACTGGGCTAGGGACAGAAATTACACATAAACTGGTATAAATGATTGGAAATCAGTTCAAATCTAACACAAAAGACGTTCAGTACACATAAACCAGTTTCAAAATGATCAAAACCAGTTGAAGATAAACTTGGATTGATGTAGTACCAAATTTAACGTGATTTAGGTTAAACTGGTTTATTGAACTTCTGTTCCAGATCCCTTCCAGATTCAAGCTGTCTGCGCCAGCTGAGCAGGGAGGTGTGCTCTAGTGCCCCACAGCTTCTGGCCTGGGCCACTGCAGGCTAGTGGCTCCATTTCCAGAATTAAAAGTGAGTGTCTGTTTAGACTAACTTGCAAAGATTGAATCAATTCAGTCTCAGGCTTTTTGACTGTGTGTACTTAGCCCCGGAGCTAGGACCCACTTACTGCTCCTCTACACTGCCCAGCTGTAGTGTGGGGACCTGAAGGCTTGTATTTGCAGTCTGTAGGATAGAAGTCTGCAACCTACTAAACCTCTTACAGAAATGCAAGCATTCTAGATTATGGCACCACCCATCATTTTAAAACTTCAGGATCATCAACTATCATAATAAAATTCCAAGTGCATTTAGGAAATTACTAAGGAAGGCAAATAGAATCAGTATTCAAGATATTTATTATGTTGCCAGCACTCATGATTTTATCCCAAGCATTATTATTAGTGTATTTCTTAAAGCTTTGACTCCTGGAATCAAGAGATTGCAGAGGAAGGAGGGGGAGAGGAATTTCAGCTTTCTTAGAAGAAGAAAGCAGAAGTTACTAGCTTGAAAACATGATGGAAGCAGGTAATAATAATAACAACAACAACAACAACAAACACCTTAAATAAGGAGGCAAAGAAAAGTATACCCCTGCCCCTCCTCCCCACCAAAAAGGGGAAAGAAAACCCTCACAATTTCTAAGCCTCTCATGATTTTGGAAGTCTGGATTATAAGGCTTCGAATGCTTGAAGTAGGCAATGTTGTTTATAGTATCTACAAAGGAAAAATGTTTGCTCAGGAATTTTGTGCATTAAGCTAGGGGAGTCTCAGTACTTTTTCCACACTTAACTAATAGGTCTCCTTTCTGCCAGGAACTAAACAGCCTCTTCAGGAGTGGCTTGAGGTGCACACTATGGGGAAAACTTGCACCAATATCTGCACTGTGGATGAGCAGAAGGTTGGTTTCCATAACAGTATGCCAATGTTAAAATTCCCCATGTGCTCACACATATACTGCTGTCAGAGCACAACATTAACTGTGTACACAAGAGAGGTTTGTGCTTTCCCAACCGTACAAGAGCCAATATTAATATACGAATCCATATGGCTACTTAACTAACATTCCTAAACAACCGTTAGGCAAAAAAACAGACCGATACATTTGCACCAAAGAATTTTCACCAAATGGTATTAAAAGTAGTTTAGAGTCATTACTGGAAAACTCAACATCCTGTGAGGGGGGCAGACGGTGAAGTTTAGGTAAAGGTCACATGCCATGGAATGGCAGCAAACAGGCACAGAAACTCAACTCCCTAGTCCTGCATTTCATTTAAAGCTAGATTTCATTCCCCTCTTAATACTACATCCCTTTTCAAAGCTTCCCTCAAGGAAGGATCAAAAATAAGCTGCTAGTCATCTCTGTCAGGTTGTTCATATTTCTGGGCACAGCACCACCAGACTCCAAAAAGATGTACTAACTTGTTGCCAGAAGCATTTGCTGCCTTTCCATCTGTTTCCTATGATTCCATTCACAAATTTGTCTTTTGTCTCCAGAAAGCTCGACACAGAGAAAGACCCATCTTTTACCAATCTAAGCAACTAGGGGCAGCTTCTATAAGGATTTTTTTATTTGATGGGAAGGGCCGATTTAGAGGTTCTCATGTAGCTGTAGAAACCGTATTACACAGTTGTTTTATCCTGCTGGAGCATGTGTTTTTGAAAACTCTGTGAAGGAAAAATAGTCTTTTTCTGTTCGCTTCCCCTTCCCCAAAGACAGCCTCATTTTGTCTTATATTAAAAATTATGCAGACACTACAAACAATATTGTCAATTAACTTATCTAACTTAAATGTATTTTAAAAAACACAATATAAACCACTGGGGGAAAAAAAGCACCCCCAACTCTTTACCTACCCATCTGCAGACCCGACCCCATGATATGAAGTGGCACCAAATTAATGTGCAATTTGATTACATTTGCCAAAGATATACATACAGTAGGGATAGCGCTGCATATACAAAATCAGCTGAAAATTTAAGAAAATAATCATCTTAATCCAGGTGTCTTTCCAGAAATCAAGGGGTAATTGATTTAGCAGTTCTCCACAGTCCAGTGCGTATTTAATTTTAACAAGCGATGCTGCTGAAAGATGATGCAGGCACTTTTAAAGCACAAGCCAGACTTCATAACCCACAGTATATTTGGTCAGGTATCCAATTAGTTTCTAGTGACTTTTTTTTCTGATCATTATTATGCCAAGCTTTACGATCTGTGCAAGACTCAAATGGAAAAGGAGACAGGTGCAATTCAGTAAGGCACAACAAAATGTGCACCATATTTCTCCTTTTTTACATAGGACACCAATCAAATCCACGAGCAATGCAGAACTGCAATTTAATGTGAAGCTTTGTTGCTGTCTCCAAATGACATTTGATTGTGGAGAAAGATGGGTTGGCCCATATCAGAAGACTGACTTGGAAATTAAAAAAAAAAAAAAAAAGAAATCAAACCCATCTCGGTCTCCACAAAGCTTACAATGTACTCAATGCTGCATCGACCAATGACTGAAAAAAACCCACACCACCCGCCTGCCTAGCCTTAAAGCTGTTTTATGATCAAAATCAGACACTGTTCACTCAAGCATTCCTAGCAGCCAGTCCTAAAATCTGATCCATTTCCCCACTGGCAGGACAGATTTACTTTTAATCTTTTTCCTACTAGGAGGCGGGGAAATAAAAAAAGATTAACCACAAAATAAATCCTGGCTGTCTGGAAACAAGGGGCGGGGGGGGGGGGGGGGAG